CTACAACAACAGCAACAGAAAGCTATAAATTCTGGTTTGCATTGCTCAAACTCTTTTTGCGATTGGCATTACACAATTGCGAGGTTTGTTTTGATTTTCAGCAGATAAATGAATGCGAGTTGCGTTTCGCTTGATGATGTGTATCTATTGGTGTGTGTGTGCCCATTCTCTCTCTCTCTCTATCTCTCACTGATTGTGTGTACCCAATTTACGCACTTGACGTTGCTGCTGTTGCGTAGATTTGAACTCTTGTTGCCTATTTACTTTTGTATTTGTTTTTAATTAGATTTTTGTTTACTGTGGAAATTTTAGTTTAATTGAGTTCTGCTGCGCCACAGCCTCAGTTGCCTCTGACTGTGACTGTGAATGTAACTGTGACTGTGACTGTGCGAGTGCTACCTGTGACTCTGACTCTGACTGCGACTGCTGCCTGGCTTCACAAATCACATAAAGTGCCAGCTAGCCGCAGGGCCTCAGCCCTGTTGCCACCTCTGCAACAAAGAGCGCGTCAGTTCTTGCCTCTGGTCGCATGCGCTGTCTCATTTTAGCCCTGTTGCCGTCTCTGTCACATGTGCGTGTATTTTGTGTGCCGAGTTTAAAAGCAATTTAAATTCGTTTGCCTTTCGCTTTTGACTTTGGTGAGTAGCGCGTTTTATTTACTTTATTTTCTCGTATTTTTTTGTTTTAGTTTTTATCACGATTACTTTTTTGGGTTTCTGTGGGGACTTACCAAACGACCTGCGTGAGCGAGGCTGGATTCGCCACATATTCGCAATTGAGCAGCACAATTTCGCTGGTATTGGTGACCATTTCCGGTGGACTGACCTTGACAACGGGTGGATCTGAAGAGAGGGATAGAGAATGAAGAAAATGATGAGTGAGCTTCGCCAAAAGGAGATTAAATTTTAATTTTAATGAGGAGTAGAGTTTAGGCATAAATTATGGCGCCTTACAGCACTGCTTTGTACTTACACATAACTTCCAGGGTCAGATCCGAGGATATGGGCTTCTCGCGATTGATTTGCAGCACAATATTTTCGGCCTCGCAGCGGAAGACGCGATCGTTCTCAAAGCGCGTGGCATTGAAAATCAGCTCCGACTGCGTGTGGTAGGTGCCGTCCTCCTTCTCAAACTGTACGAAAGTGAATTAAGTTGTATTAGCCTAAGCAAAACTAAACAGCAGTTAATACTCACAGCTTTGGTGCGTATTTCAGTGAGTTCATTCTCCTCGGCACTGATAATCGAAGTTGAATTATACCAGGTTAGATTAACTGCGGGCCGTGCGCCGTGTATCTGTGAGTGGAGGGGGGGCAAAGAAAACAGCGTCAATTTAGTCTATTTGCGTGTACAGAGCTGCCCAATGGGGCGTATGCGTTATGTGATTCGCTCAGCTCAGCAGCGGCGGGTGGGCGCCACTTGGCGACAAGTCGAGGCAATTGCCATTAAATTTCCATTAGCTGGTGCGCATATTCATGCATACATTGCCATCAGCAAGGCACAATTTTTACCTGACTGTCAGCCAGGTAGCTAGGCAGTAAAACAATTGCATGAAATTCCATTAAACATAATACGCAATCAATAGACAATTTTGCATAATTTTACACAGTGCACAGTGCGGAGTACAGTACAGGCAGGTCCTTTCGTTCAAAGTGCTGCTAAACTGCAGCCAATTGAGCGCTTTTCCATTAAAATGCAATCGCAACAAGCCAGACACAAGGCGGGCGGGCAGGCGCTGAGGGCCAAGCAAATGAAAAGGCATTGCCATTGACTGGCTACAAAAGCTCAGTCGCAGTCGCACTCACAGCCTGTGCCGCTGTCTGTGCCTCTGCCTTGACTGTCACACACACACACACACATATATATATATATGCTCTCGTTGTGGACGAAAAATCGCAAAATAATTGACAGTTAATTATTGTCAATTACTTGGACTGCAACGACAAAGCACAAGCAGGAGCAGCAGGAGAA